TTATACCCATTAAAGATTAGATAATTTTCTTTAGTTTCCCACAGCAAGCAGGATCTCATTCATGTCCCCAAAAGAATGTCAGTTGTTGGAATGTTTTCTTAAGGTGCATATAAGATTAAAGACTGCAATCAGATGCACTATTGCCAAAGCCTTTGTAATATGCATGTTTTTCATGGCAAGATGATTGACAAGAATTGCAGTAAGGTGCTGAAGGGGATATTTCACCTGGCCCATCAAAACTTAATGTAGAGGATTAGGACTAAGAAGAGTTGACAATATTGACTTTGAGTGCCACAACGGAAACATAATTAGCTCTTTGACATGTAGTGGACAGAAATAGTCAATTTTAAAAAAATCAGAGTAATTACACCATATCTGTTGCAAATTGCCTTGGAAAGAAAAAAAAAAAAAAAAAAAGTCTGCTCTGCTGTTTCCTCTTTTCCCAGTAAAATTCAAGTTTGGCACTAGAATAAATACACACTAACTCAGCTTTTCTGCTGGAAGAACATCAGGAAAACTTTGTGCTTAAAACTAAAAAACCTCTCTTAAAAGAGAGGACACAGATCTGAAAGAATAAAAAGTCAATGAATTTTCTAAAAGTTTACTTATTGCAAAACAAACTGTCTGCACTATGCTTATTAAAGTCATATTTCATTGCCTAATCATAGATGTCTATTGTACCTTTTATATTTTGAATAATAATTGCAGTCTGTTCCCCAACCAAAATAATGAAAGACATTTTGGCACATGCTTATATTGATTCCCCTTTAACAAAGCACTTAAGACACATACTTGCATCCCACAGAAATTAATGGCTAACATTAACTTTGAGTACATTGATTTCATTGGGATTTAGACAAATAGTAATTTATATGGGCACAAGATTACCTGCTTTGTTGGATAAACATGAGCCTCTGAAGAAAAACCTTCAAGCTTAAGTTTGTACAATGTGCAACTGTTTTGGTTAGAAATATTGTACTATGGCATCTACGTTTTTATCAGAAAAAAGTGTGTATCTGCTGCACTGAAATATCTTTTCCAGTACTTGCTCTGGAATAGCCTAAACTGTAGAAACATTTTCCTGTAGGTTATAACAACATGGGAAGCATAAATGGGAAAAGGCAAAAACTTAACTGTACAAAATAGCCTAACACTGAGAACAAGTCATCATCAGGGATAATATAAATAATGCAGGATATTAAATCCCTAATTTAAAAAGATTATTGTCTATATGCTTGTCTGCTACTCTTGCTTGCTTCAGGATTAAGCGTTATATGAAAGTAAGGAGAAAAAAACATCAAGAATTATGCTTACCTTATTCCCTTTTTTAGCCACTGTTCTTAGCTATCCTAACTAATTAGAACCTGCAATGAAATATTCCCAGAAATTACAACAGGTTAAAAATGAATATGTAAACATGCCTTTAAATATATAAAGTCATTACACTTTGTCAGAATATACTGAGGAAATATTAAACTAGCCTATTTCAGCAGCTCAGCATCATCTGACTTAATGGGAACTTCTCATAAAAATAAGTGAATGTAAAGAAATAAAAGAAAATTGAGATAGATTTTTAAAATGTGGTTCCTTTCTTTTCTGACTGAGAATTTTAAAATCTATTTTGCTAGTAATTTCCTAATAATTTTCCAACATTTTTACCTCACAGTACCCATAGCTACTAACTGGCTTTGCTGTGGTGCATTTTTTCCACTACATATTCTGGTTTTCAGCCCAAAATGAACAGCTAATGTAGAATAGTTTAGCCCTGTATAATACTCTGACTGCACTGTGTTTCAATGGAGTTTCCTCTTGATGAGTCTTCAAGAAGCATGTCAATACACATGGACTGTGAAAGTACCTGTTAGACCTCATTAGCTGGAATAAACATGAGTGTATTTGAGACCATACTTACTAAGTCTAGAGCTTCTCTTCATTTAAATTTAAAATAAGAAGGTCATCCAGCCTGGAATAATCTCCATGGCTATTCAGCTTACACATCAGAGACTGAGAGGTATCATCATTTCCTTATTAAAAAGTCTGAGTCTGTCCACTCATACTTAACACATACCTCAACCAAGAGAAACAGCATTAGGATCAAAAAAAGAAATAATAAGCAGAAGCTATCTGTACAAAATTAAACAATCAAAGATTTGCTAGAAAAAAAATCTTTATTAATTCAATAAATCACAACACAATAAATATTGGGATCATAGATATGGGGGACCCAGAAATGCTCAGACTTGTTTGCACCACGTTGTGGTTTGACAAACAAGCCCTCATTGGCTGGCATCCTGAGAAGGAGCCTGACTAATTTTTTTTTTTATTTTCACATATAATCAGAAATTTGCAGCATACATCAGTCATTTCATTTGAGATTAGTCAGGCTTTGAAAAACATTTCTTAGGGACCATCCCTGGCAAATCTTTCAGGAAAAAAAAGCACAACCACAGCAGTTACCATTATTCTGCCTTGCCATTGATTCTGACCCTAGAGTTATGTAGGTGTGAATGTACATTTATATCAGGGGGCAAAACATTTTTCCACTAAATATGGAACAGAATTAGGCTGCTGTTCAAGATACAGGATCAATTTTCATGCAGTCCACTTAGCAATTCTGAACCCAAGAGATTTATCTTACTTCTGAGAACAATGACATGCCTTATTTCCTTGAGATCTGTTCATTTGTTGTCCCAAATAATTATTTTTACCTCCACAATGAATGAAATTAACTTATCTTTCCATTTGTCTGTAGGGGCAGACAACTCAGTCTGCTGGATGCATTGGTAGAACAGAGAGAAGAAGCAACTTTCACGTGGGTAAATTCCAATTATGGGTATAACAGAAACTGTAATAGGTAGTCACTTGGAAAAAAATATTCCACACATACACATTACAGTGTAGTCTGAGGTGGGATGTTTCTCACAGTAAAATCTCTGTAGACTCAACATTTTGAAATACTAAGTGAAACATTTTTTTTTAAGCCCTAATTTACTATGAACTTTTTTTAATCTAATGGGGTTTTTGGCTGTATCCTACTCATAAGGCCTTTATTAAAGGAACTTCTGAATGTGCAGGTATGCACACATTTCTATACTAAGTTTTAATGATTTCTAAAGCCAGTTGCAATATTCAGGTAGTATTTAAGCTTCACTTCCACTCAAATTATATCTTTTCAAGTATAAGCTTATGGATGACTTCATAGATTAAATCCAACATCAGCAAATCTAACAGACTGCCACTTGCAGTCAAACTGTATCACACATTCCTGTCTTACAGACCAGAAGTATCTGGAGACTGTAAAGAAAGCATTTAAGATTTCTGTTGTTGTTTACATCAGAATAAATATTTGAAACTGGCATATTCTAGTGTAAATGAGAGTGTGATAAATGCTATTACAGAATATTTTAGCAGGAAGGTCTGATCACTTTTTCCCTAATTGTTTCACTGACACGTACAACTCTTCCAGTCTAAAAGATTACATACTGGAAATAAACAAATAATTTGTCTGTGTTGCATGCTGCAACACATCTGCAACACTGCAATCATTGAGGTGTTCTTCCAAAATGTGCAACATGCAGACAAACAGCTATGAAGATGTTGAGTTCCAGACACATAAACACAGATATACATTGACTGCAAAAAGGATACATTTTGTTTCACCTTGAGCTCATCTCTTCATTCCCTACATGCACTATTCTGCTGTCAAGGGTGCAAGAAGCTAAGTGACTGTGCATAGCAAAACGCTGGTAGCTGCAACTTGGATTGGAATTCAGTGCAGTCAGTTTCGTGTTTGCCTTTGTCAGGCTCTCTCTTTCACAGGGTTCTGCAAAAGAAGCTCCACTATCAGATTTCTGTTTCTTTATTGCAACAAATTAGCCAGCATCTCCCCCTTCTGGATAACACAAAAATAAGCAGAAATTTGCAACAGAGTAATGCTTCCTTACTCTGAACTATACTTTAAAAAAAGTTTGCAGATAATTATTTTCTGTGTTCTGAGCAGCACCATTTCTTTTCTAAATCACTGTTAAAAATAGCTTTTTTTTCAGTAACATGTTTTATTAAAGCCAGATCTAAATCCCTTCAGCTCTGAAAAAATCATAAAAATAAACCAACCTAATATATCACTGTGCCAGCCAGATTTCCACATCCTATAAAACAGAAAATGCTGCATGAGTTGGATTATTTGTGGTTTTGATTCTACTTGTCAGTGTTGCATAATATGTGGTGTTTAAACAGTAATTTGTGAGATGTGTCAATTTAATTTGAAATGAAGTAGAAATTTCAAGAGTAGGCAGAGAAGTCACCATAAAATTCAACACTTTCTTTAGCACCTCTGAGCTCATTCATTCTCAGACATCACCATAATGTACATGACCAGAAAGCTCTAATTAATCCAGTGGGATTTATCCAGTAGCAGCACAGCTTTAGTGATAAGTGATTTCCTATTCAATTCCTGTACATACTGCATTTTAAAGAAAAAAACCAACCCATTGTTACAAACTCTGGGAACCTGTTTCTACTAGCAAGTGCAGAGTTTCAGTGTTCAAGATTAGGAACAGTAATGAGCCAACCAAGTACTCAGGAGAAAGTATCATCACCAAAATCCTAAGGGGACCCTGTTTGATCCCTAGCATCTGTATGAACATCACGAGACACTGCTGTTAGCAGTCAGTCATGCCAACAGAGAAACTTAAATGACAACTGTTTAACTGGCAGATGGCCTCAAATGTTACCAGCTTCAGTTATATTTACGTATCTTAAACTGTGATTATTCCCTGTCTCCCAGCAACAGAAGAGTTACAGGCACTTTGAAAGAGATTTGTTACAGCAGGACTGCATTGGTTTTAGATCTTTGTGAGTACTATTTCTTTGTCTGGCTGTGAGAAAAAGCTGTCTACAGGGAGTACCTGGATCTCGAACCATTAAAGCTGTGTCAACCCTTTCCTTTACAAATATATTTTGTGCTTTTTTTTCATTCTTTCCAGGGATGGTATTTAACCTCAGCAGGCTGTGACTGTTGCATCCAAGCCAGAACGCTTTGTGATGTGCAACTTGGTAACCTCTTCAGCACAGGTAGGGTGAATGCCAATTGTCTTCATTAGCTGAGGATACGTAACACCACACCTACAAAAAAAAAAGACAAAAAAAAGACTCACAAAGTCAAACACTATTCACCTGAAGCACCCTGACTGTCTTAAGACATTTAAATAATTCTTAAGTAATTCTGCTCTTGTCCATTTTATCAGGTAGAGGAGCTGCATTTATTCTTCAAACAATGTTTTCTGTTATATCTCAGGTACTTACACAACAACATTTAAACTCCCAGCTTTACAACACTGTTATGTAGGAAAGGATTGTCATGAGAGTTGAGACAGAGAGAATTAAGCAATTTACCCCAAGTCACAACCAAGCCTGTGGGAAAAACATGTGACAAAACTGCAGCCTTCAGCTTTTCTTGTACATACATGTGTGTTACACTAACTCTGACGCCAGATAGAAAAACACACACATAGGAAGAAAATCTTAATTAGGACTGCTGGGCAAGAATCTGCTGAAGTAATACCAGAATACTCTTCCATTACCTTAGAGAAAGTGTGCTGCTTAGACTGAAATTATCAATGTTATAAGCAGGAGGGAAAGTCTCTCTCATTTGAAAAAACAAAACAAACACAAAAAAAGAAACCCTGAGCTAAAATCCCACTTGCTTAATTCCTTTACTCCTTAATTCCAATAACATTCTTAAGACTTGATGACTTTCCTTTGAGCTGCTATTCCTGGCATGTCATTCTCTCTGAATAGCTGAAATGACCCTGAATTTAAGAACTGTTTCAAGCTCTTTATGGAATAATCTTCTCCCCCTCTACAAAATAAAGTGAAGAGGGATATAGATGTCTTCTGCTGTCCCCACCTACATCTAAAAAAGCACAGACAAGCCAAAAATTGTTGCTGAGCAGAGATGTTACTGGGAGTGCTAAGTGGGGAGGGAAGATGGCAAATCATCCTTTGAAGAGACTGAAGTAAGACCTAATATTTCACACAGGAGAACAGCAGCTCTTACAGGGCGTGTCCCACATTAAAGCTCTGGATTTGTGAAATACAATAGAAACTAATACAAGAATCTGACCTGCTGAAAACCTCTTACTGTGGCTCAAGTTTTAATTTCCTTCGGGCAAGGCAGAAAAGCACTCCAGTTTCATGTGCTTCCCTTTCACTGGTTATTTTGGATAAAACTTCAAAACAATGACATCCTAAAAAATGTAGTCCTAGAATCTATACCACTGGCAATTAATGGACTACAAACACATGTTGAAAATGTGTACTGAGGGTACACTGCAATCAGTGATTTCCAAGATATTCCTCACATAATAGTTGTGGTCCTGCCTCTTAATCCTTTCTGCTTTTCATTTATGCTAGTCACTCACAACTGTAAGATTAAAACTCTAATAAAACAGTGATGATATTTAAGAAAATGAACTAACACCACCAGCCTACTTTATTCTAAAAGCAGTTCAAAACTATAATTTAGTAATGTAAATATACGACTCAACATTTTCGAAGATATGAATCAGCAACAAGAAGGGAAATGAAAAAACAAATAAAAAATAATTGTAGCACACAAGAGGGAGAGGAGGAATTACCCATTTAACCAGAGAGGCCCTAGAATCACTCCTTACTCCTTCAAAGGGAAGGCTACTATATTAATACTAAAGTAAAATCTTAATCAAGACATGATCACAAAGCTTCACCTACTTGCTAAGTTTGTTATTGCAATTATCAGACAGCTCCAGACAAAAATACCTCCTCTCTCTCCTCACCTTACAGAGGTTTCTTTCTTACCTTATCATACTGTGGTTAGCTTATACCCCAGAAATGTAAAAACTCATGCAAGGCATTTGAGGCACAATGGCTGTGCATATTTAAAGATGAGATTAGGAAAGGAAATTCTTGGAAGATGTAAAGAAAGTTTTTTATGAAAAGCATAAATATCCTGTTACAGAAGCGACTTGCAAAACTGTATGGTGATTTCCTATCCTGTGCATAGAATGCAAAAGAAGCTACACTCTGAGGAAACTAACATTAGTAAGTTAATGCACAATTTTATTCTTTGCTTTAACTATATGAAGCCAACAGTCGATATTCCTTAGTTGTTCCTTAACTCTATCCAATATTACAATAACTAAATCCAGTACATCTTAATGAAGAACTGCAGTATTTTTAGTGAAAATATGTGCAATACTACATAAAAAGTAACAAAAAGCATGGATTCTTTATAGTGTTGCCAAAACTAGGCAGCTATCTTTTATAATCTTACAATAACTTAAAAAGCAAGCTTTAGAAGCTAGAGACATTCTTTTGTACTTACTTGATTCCAAGAGCAAATCCTTGAATAACTTCGCCTGCATTTGGTCCAATGAAATGAAGGCCAAGCACTCGTTGCTCTCTCTCTCGTAAGCACACCATCTGAAAACAATACATTACATAGAGATCTTTTCTTAGAACATCTAAAGATGTTCTAAGCATGAAGTTGAATTAAATGAAACTGAAGTGCTCTGAAATCCTAGTTCAGCTGTTGATTCCCAGTGTGCCAAGAACCTATGCACTTACTTAAATCTTACTGACTTTAGTAGGTCTTATGCTTGTCTTTAAGCACTTTCCTGCACCTAAGCTTTATTAGTGTATTCCTTTCAGAGTTCAGGGAGACACTGACAATGAAAATATAAGGTAAGTTGAGCACTTTGTTGTTTGCCATTTGTATGAAATCCTCAAAAAACCTTCCGTAGTCTAGTAACCAGACTAGTGTTATTTAGACACCTTAGCAGTTCTCCAATCCTATGCAGTTATTCTCAGAAGCTAATCAACTGTATTCCCAAAGATGACAATTACCAATTATAGGATATTTTGTGCCTTTGTAATTCAGTCACTTAAAGCAGCATGTTTGGTGAGATACATTTACCACATCAGCTACATAACCTAAAAAGGAGTCCAGCCTCAGAAGCAGCCAAAGATGAAGGTGAGTTAATAAATATCTGGAAAAGCCCCATTCACTGCATACTTAATTTTTATTGAAGAACTTAATGAAAACTTTTTCATTCCTTTCAGGACACCACCTTTAGAATGATGAAAAGAAACTCAGTGTCTTCCTCTGTCCTTCCATCAAGCATTAAATCACCACTAATATACTTCTGCTATTCAATAAAGGCTTTGATTCTTAAAACAGGAATCCCAGGAACAGCAGCAATCCTGAGGTAGTACTTTAAATATTGAGGAGTTTTAAAGAAAAAACCCTCTTGCATTAGAGTTTGAAACTCTAAGTTTAATATTTGTTCATGTGTTTTGGGAAGGACTATGGTCAATTTCACCCAACAGCTATTATGCTATTACTACTTCACTACTCAAATATTTACTTTCATTGACATAATTTTAAGGGAATTGCTAAAAAGAAGCAGCATCACCTTAGTTTCACTGATACTTGGGACAGTTAAGGCAAGCTACTAAGGCACACGAATCTTAGAAAAACTGGTGGCAACAATTGACAATGGATATTCCTTAAAAACACAACAATAACATAAGAATTTGTGATGGACCTACAGAAGTTGCTACATTTATTTTAAAAAAAGATTGTTCCCCGATATTGAATAGAAAATAAATAGAAAAATATGATGTATTCTACCAACACTACGTATTATCTAAGATTCTCTACTATGGGCAAGTACATCAAAAACCTTTCCAAGAAAACACAAATTTCAAATCCCGTACTTTTGTCTAGGGCAGGAGGGTTTTGTTTTCATGAATAAGATTGGACAGTTACTCTCATTTTGTATGCCTTATTCTTTTCTGAAGGTAGCATACTGTGCCCAAGAGAGGACAACTCAAATATTACACGTAACTGGTTTTGGGGGAAGCAAAGAATAATTTCTATAGAATTTAGAATATTTCTTAGGACCTTAAGAGCAGCTCAAAGATGGTATAAATTAGCAGAATGTCAGCTCTCTGAAAAATGCTATTATCTGTAAAACAATTTCAAGATGCAATGGGATATGTAATGAATATTAAACACTTGAAGTTGTGCTAGAGAAACAGGCTGTCAGCAAGAAAAGATCTCATCCATCTTGAGAAAATTTTCTGCCCAGCAATCCTCCTTCAAGCTGGCTGTACCATACCTTGTTTTAAGTTAACAGCAAGTTAAAAGCTCACAACACTCACTTTCATATAGCATTGACTTGCATCTCTTTCAGCCACTGTGAACTCCAAAGGTTTATAATACGCATGATACACCTGGTAGAGAAAACAATAATGTTCTGTGTCAGAAAACTATAATGTCAGAATCTGCTATTTAGTGTTATGATGACTACTATTACTACACATCTATGATACTGTATACATTTTTTATCTGTTAATTATTCTAATTAATAATGTTAATTATTTTAAAGAAAAAATATGCAAAGTAGGGTTAGTGTTTAACACAAATGTGCCTTAGAGAATCATTAAAAACAAAACTCAAAAAAAATCACAAATAATCATGTTATTCAAACCAGTGCCTCAAATTAAAATGCTAGTTTTTTTCCTTTAAGCTTCTCCCAAATGTTTAATACTGTGTTTACTGAAAATAATGAAATCCAAGAAGCTTTCTATATCTACAACAATGTAAACTAAACCCACTAGGTAACAGTTTCCATTGTGACCTTTTCTGAAGACACCAACTCCCTAACTGCAAATGCAGCGTTTTCAGAACCAAAAATGTTGCCTGATATAATAGTGAAAATTCATCTTCTCATAGTGCAACTCTGACACCAAGTGTAAAATTAAAAATAATTTCATACCTCAATATTATCTGATCCATAACATTGCACAGCTGCTTCTTCTGACAGTCCAACACAACCATACTCCAAGGGAGTGAAAACTGTAGTAGGTACCTGCTCGTGAGGAAACAGAAAGTGGTATTGTTGGACCATATGAAGCAGCTGCACAGCAGATAAAGGGGAGACTTTTGCATGACAGAGAAGTGTAGCTCTGTCAGACTTCAGCTACTGTCAAAGCTGTATTCCAGATGACAAAATGCAATTCCTTTAAAAATTCTTAAGGGAGAAAAAAAAGGCATAAGGTTTGGGCTTTATTATTGAAAAAGAAATAACTCACATTGTCATAGTCCATCAGTTCTGAAGACTGGCCAAAGAGACGCTGAGCCAGCAGTTTTCCTGCAGCAATTGCTGTGGGTGTCAATTCAGGATGGCCCTAAGAAGAAAGCACAGAACTTTGTTTTAGCTAAGAGAGAAGCAGCATCCAAGAATTTCTCCCGGGACAATAATCAGAAGAAGGCCAAATCTTTGAAATTCCAGCCTACTAGCCAGGGGTCCAAAAGAAGAGAAGGCAGTAATTTCTGTTCAAACGTGCTTTTAAGTCTCTGAGTTAAATATCAGACTTGATGCGGGGGAACAAACACCACGAATGTGTCAAAACCTTGTATCTCATCATGTCATTCCTTGAAAAGCGGAGGGTATTCAAAGGCTAACCACTCACTTCCCCCTTTCTTTCCACAGTAAGTCATCAAGAAATTTTTCAGACTGTCTTTCTAAAGCAGGAAAGGCCTAGTATAGAGCAACAGTGTTTTCATAATATCAGACCTTTCAAAAAAAGTTTTCTGTCACAATTTTACAGAACACAGGCACAGAAGTTAGCTATTTGTAGGCACTATTACTGTACTGACTTCCTCTGTTAGTCCTGGATCAGAGAGGTGGAACACTATTTTGCCAGCACTGCAACCCATAGGTTGAGCTGGTCTTAGTCTCAGGCTCCCCCCACCACCCACATTCAAGTTGTTAAAATTCTTAATCCCACTATTCTAAAGTTTTTCAGCACTTACTGGAATCCATTCCTCTTTCCTAGTTTGTATTTTCTGTATGTTGCTAGATAGATTCTGCACATGGTATTAGCTACCATTTACTTCAGTACACATACCATATAAATTATCTGCATATTAATATGCATTTCAGCATTTATCTTACTAATAACCACTTAAATTAGAACTTCCATTGCAAAAATCCAAACCAAAAAAACATTGTCTAATCTGTTAACAGAAACTCCAATTATAATTGTTAATGAATACTAACCTATTTTTCCCCACAGCTCATGACAAATCACAAAACTGCAAGTCTATTCCTTTTCTTCCCCCTCAGATCCATCAAATAATGGTTTTTCAAATCCAGCATTTTGACTTTCAAGTCTGTAAATGTCATTTACCAGATGAAATTTGCCATTTGTTTTTCCTTATACACATTTGCCTGAAACATGGCTGCCAATCATTTCTGTAGCAGGAAATACAGATGTTGTTTTGGCATTCCAGAAATTAATAGAAGATTGGAATGACAGATAAACTTGTGAAAGCACTGCCATGCATTCCATAAAACCCAACTAATTACTAAAACATCCACACAGATAAAGCCCAATTTCTCATAAACAATGACTTAAAGACCTTCCCTGGTAAATATTTGCAATGAACATTCACTTTGCAGTCATGTGTAGAACTACTCTGCTGATTATTATGGATACGAATTGTTCATAAGAATCCTCCAATGTATTATACATTTAAACGAGATGGCTCCTAAGATAGTTTTAAAAGCTTTGAAGTAATGTGTATTTGTTTTAACACAGCTCTTTTAGTCTTATTCCTATTCAAAGCAACATACTGTACATTCCACCTTCTCTACACATCTTTGTTACAGCACTCTTTGAGATGTGGCAGATGTATAGTGGCATGACCATATGATAAACCTACTTCTGAGAGAAGTTCTTTATAGTTATATGCCATGCTTTTCAACAAGAATACTACTGGAGAAAAGATTTTAACACAGAGAGTTTATATCAATGCTACAAAAAAATTCCAACTAAAATTCCAGCTTGATCTCCTTTGTCCTGATTATAGAAGATGAAAATGCCTAAATGCAATTTCACCTGTCAGTTAAAAATAATATTCTGCCAAAGCTTAAAAATCTGTTTTTGAGGGCAGACAAACTGACTGAGCTCAGGAAGGGTGTTGTTTTTTTTTTCCCCTTTTCTCCAAATGAACAGCTTGGATAACATTAGGATTCCATTTGCCATAAAAGGGTGCAACAAGACACTCATGACCACAGCTTCCCGTTTGTGCCAGCTGGGTATGACTCCCAAATGAAAACAGTCATTCTGAGCATATCAGAAAACTTGCCATTCCCATCTCTCACTCCCTTTCCAGCCAGGGCACTGAATTAAAACAAAACAAAAAAGTAGTTCTTGCTCTCTGTTAGCAATTTAGTGTCTATTAAGTGTGGCATGTTAAAGGACAAGGGCCAGAGAACTACTTGCAATTGCACTTTATGGCAGCAAAAAGCCTGACAGAGAGAGCAGAGCAAAAGAAATCCTGAGCAGGAATACTTGAGAAAAAAAAAAAGTGTTATTCTTTTAGGCAAAATTTGGGACCATTGATGTTCATTCACAGGAAACATTATTCCCCTTCCTGTGCTCTTTTGGGAGGTCTCCACCAGAAAGTTCACACACCAAGCTCTACACCTTTGTGGTTCTTAGCAGGATGCACTTGTTTCTTCTGTATTCTTTGACATATGCACCAACACAGAACTCACTTTCAGTGATGGCTCCCATGCCAATGAAATTTATTATCCAAATTAATTCTGCTTTAAATAAGAGAAAATTTTATTTAAGTATTCAAATAAAATAACTTAATTGCTTATCAAGCAGAATTACATGGCTCACATCAGAGTCAGACAAGACAATGGTAATTTCTTCTACCTTTATAAATGCATGAGTACCATACTGTGATTTCTTTAATTCCCTATATTGAGCCCATATGCAGATAAAAGGATATATGTCCACAGCACTGAATTGTTTCTTCAGTTTTTCTCCAGTTGTACACTGCTCAGAGTATAAAGCTGTGTTGCTGTTTTTAACACTTACATTTACAAGTGCCTATTGAACAACTAGCGTTCAAAAATATGCACTAATAAGGACAAAAGCAGGAAAAGGAAATCCAAGTTTTAACAACAAAATGAAAAGGACAAATAAATGAAGATCTGATTTTTTAGATCCAGAGTAGGGAAGAGGAGAGCATCCTGCCTGTATCTTTTAATTTCTTACTTAACTAATTCCTCAAAGGGCAGAAGACAAAAAGCACCCAAAAGGAAATGACTTGCCCAAAATAACACTGCAGATTGGCAGCAAAAAGAGCAACAGAACTAAGGCCCTGCCGGCATTGCCTCTAACAACTGCTTCTTGGATGAAATTAAAAAGAAAAGTTTGGAAAGCAGGGGGCCCAACCAAGGCATATATCAAGGACAAGCAGGTGTAGAGGTCATTGTGAGCCAGAAGAGGACTTGGGAAAAATCCCACAGCAAATATAGAGGGAACAAATAGAGGGACAAATATAGAGGGAAACTGCACATGAAGTGAGAAGAAATGAGAGGAACTGTACATAATCCCAAAGCTCTAAGAGACTAGTCAGGACAGAGAAGCTGTGAAGAGTAAGAAAAAAAGGAAAAATAGCTGAGTAGGAAAGAGTTTTAACACAGTTTAAAAGGGAATGGCAAGTAATTCACATGAAGATGGAGACAGAAAGGAAGAAACACATATCTACATAGAGGGGGAAGAGATGGAAGAGGTCAGGATTGGCCAGAAGAGTTATGAGATTTGAGTGTCTCTGGCAGTTCTAGAGTTTAGTCAGAAATTTGCAGGGTCATTCCCAAGACATTATGTAACCTGTTAGATCTCTTAAAAAACTCAGAGCACCTGTAGGTTTTATAAATTGTAGAAAACTTTAAAAGGTTTTAAACTTGGCAGAATGTGAAATCTTTTCAAGGTCTCTCACATTATGCTATATATAGTGTTTGGATACTGCTATAGTATTTAGATTTACCAGACTTTTTAAACAGATGTTTTCACTATATCAAAAAGTTTCAGTAGGAAGGCATGTGTTCAATTCCCTTAAGTTCAGCAACAGCTGAGAGAATTCTGTTCTTGCAATTCCCAGCCCTTATACTCTACATATTGCCCAAGTTCTTCAAGAATGGCAGGCAGCTGATGAAATCATCCTCCTGTAACTGTACAGTTCAGAATCCAAATAAACATCTTTTTATGAAGACAACATATCTGGGGATACCCAACCTACAGTAGATAACCTGAGTTCTTTTGTAAAATGAAAATTGAAAGATTGAGAGTACTTGAGTACACTTTGATCAAGACAAGATATTCTTGTCATAAATAAACTGTATATTATCTACAGGATTTAAGGCCACAGATTTTGCATCTATAATACAGAAATAATTTTGCTGAAGTTATAATGTCCCCTCGTTAAAAAAAAAACCCAAGGAAACCACCCACAAACCAAAAATCCCACACCTCATGTTTATTTGGCACAAATCATTAATAGAAATCAAATACGTTTAGTATTTGCAGCAATAATTTTTTCTTATTCTAGAGGAAGATACATTTTGTGTCAGGGAGCAAAAGTGTTGTCTTGTTTCTCAATTAAATCTCAATTAAACCCCAAAATACTAAAAATGTCATTACAAAACTTGTCACAGTCATTCCCAGGAAGTGTTTTCAAGTCCAGAAAGTAAGAGCTGCTTTCACTCAGCATTCACAAGCAGTATGAAGTCATGTGTCTGAAGTGATAAAAACATTATTAGAAAGATAATTGAAATGATAAAGACATTATTATTAGTCTCTGACCAGTGATGCATTCCCTGATAAACATCAGTAATAATCTCTAATGTTGAGACACTTCACAAGATCCATGTGAAGGAAATTACTGGCCCAGGTGGCTGACATAAACACTGCAGCTCTGGAAAATGAAAAGAGCAAAACACTAAGATATATGCTAGAGCATGACGACATCTGGGGACTAGTTATTAGTCAGGAACAAAGTTGGTTTCCTGTTATTGTAAAATAGTTTATGTAGACTCAGTACCTCTGTTATGTCTCCAATTGCATAAATGTGAGGAACAGAAGTAGCTTCACTGGCATCAACAATGATCTTTCCAGTTTCAGGATTAGTTTTCACTCCAACTGTCTCCAAATTGAGAGTTCCAGTGTCAGGGGCTCGGCCTTAAGTGAAAAAAAACACAACAGCAAACAAAAGTAAAAACTATTGGAAAACTTTAGTTATGTTAATCTAAATCTCCACAGCAAATTTCCAAGTTGCTTGTGCTATTTGATAGTCCAGGTAGAAACATGACAAAACTCATCTCATACTGAAAAAGGGTGGAAAGTATAGATATGAACATCTTTGTGAAAGGAGCACTCTTATATTGCCTTTCCTCAGACTATTTCAGAGGAAGTTATTCGCTAAAAATGTGTAGGACATCCACTGCAAAAGTGCAAAAAACAGCCAGTTTAATATTACTTGCACAGCTTCCTAACGTAGCATGAATATACATATAATAACAGAACAACTTCCACACTGAAAACTTCCACTAAACACTCATTGAATGGCACTCAATACTAAAAAAAAAGCCTATTGTGCACACTTGTGGATAAAAACAATGCTGTTCAACATTAAACAGTCCTCTTTTCTTGCTGATGCACTTTAAAGCTTTTTTAGTTCCTTCAGCTTTGATGAAAAAGTTTACCAACTCCGCTCTCAAGTCCTTGATGACAAGTTATTTAGCTTAAACTCTGTAGTAGAGCTATTTCTACAGAGTTTAGAAAGACTACTTTAAATTGATTTAAAAACAAATTAGGCAAATTCTACCCAAGCCTAGATTTTATTAGAGCTTCCTCTTCCAACAATTTAAGATCATCTCATCTTTAAAAAATATTTTTGTAGTGTTTTCTGCAGAGTTACCACTTAGACCATCAAAGTCCTGGTAGCATTACCCTGAGCTTTCTATAGGGTATCTAACAAAGCAATTCTTGACCCAGAACTTAGAATCTTGTATCTTATCCAATTTTTAAATGTATTTGAAGATTAACAAGCATAGTGAAATTACCAGGTATCCCAAACTTTGCAGGAAATACATAGAAATTATTACCTGACTATATCCAAATGAAGGAAATGTTATAACATTGCATCTGGCTTTAGAAGCTATAAATAAACACGGATATATCACCATCTACATGTGTAGATGTCCTTTGTGGGAGTCATGATTATAAGTTTGATTTTAATACAGAGCTATAGCAAGCAAAACAAAAAGGGAGATGTGTTTTCATTACAGAAACAAGCTCTTTGATGTTAATGTAGGAAATTATTAAACAAAAGGAAAACCTGGCTTGTCAATACAGACCTAATTATATGTAAACATCTGATTCACTGCTTTATACATCTGCCATATAGCCTGGCCCCCAAACAATGTCACATCTGAATGCCTCTGTAAAGACTTCTGTGTATTAATTTCATCTGGTGAAACCAACACTTCCTCTGGGAGCACTGACTGAAGCTGTCGGCACTTGGCTATCTGTCTGTCTTCCCTTCTGTTGTCCCCATGGGATGTTGATCTGCTGTTCCTTCTCTGCCCCTTGCTCCCCAGTCCTGATGCTATCAGGCAACAAAAATAATAAACCTCCAGGACCTTATCTTGGCTCGGATGTGAAACAACTTCCTACCGTTGTATTTCTTTGTGTATTGAGAGTAAAGCCTGGATATTCTGCAAATGGACAACTAATGGGGTTTTCTAGTTTCCCCTTTTTCCTGCCAGGCAGAGCCAAGAGAAAGCTTAGCACGCAATGGCAGGCACTGAAAGAGGAAAAAAGAAAAACTGTCAATAGAGTCATTTAAAGACCTGTGACAACAACAGCTGAGTTTATCAAATCTGCAGAATAACACTTAACCTTTTGATTCCAATCTATTTTAACATGTGTAAAGTTTGGTATTAATAGTGAAGTTACAAAAAAAATGTGTTGCTACTCATAGTGAAATTTCTCTCTCAACTTTACTGCCTAAATATTATTTTTGAAAGCAAACCCAAACCTTTAAGAAACTCAACTGAAGCTTTATTGGCCTTTAGTCCCATGCTGGCTCACCTCCATAAGCCAGAATTACAGTTACCAGTCTTGCTTCACCTCAAATTCACTAGCTGAGGTTCATGATTAGCCAATGTGCCTTGGTAAATTTTAATGCCAAATTTAGAAAATTCTGATATTTCCCAACATTCACTCAATTGTATTATAGAATCAGTTCTCACTATTTCTCAGTAGTATTGGATCAGAAGGACATTTGTTTCATACCCCTAACTCCTAAGTTTTTTACATTTACAGCTTCAAGAAAGCATAAGGTGACCACTTATTTCCAAGATCCAGAGGCAATTCAAAACTACACCAAATCCTACCAGACACACAACACAGAGATGGCTCCTCTTGGCAAAAGCTAGCACGTGTGCTTTTAGTTTGAAGATATCCACTGCCCTGAAACTGCCACAGAACAGGGAGTGTATGATTGTGTAACACATAAGATTAGATTTAGCTATTATTCAAAACAGCAAGATATTACACCAGTCATCTAGAAAAAAAGGTGCCAATTTAAGCCAACAAGGGCTACCTGACACCTGTGCTTGTAATGCCCCATCATAACCTTATCTTTAATAGACCCACACAATAACCACCCAGCTCTGAAAACCACACAGATCCCTGCTCTCAAGACATGCCTACATTTGCTTTTGACTTTAAAAGAAAACAAGTTTTTTGATCTGTTTTTGTAACCTAACAACACTTCTAAGGGGACCGCCAGCCTGCTTAGCTATAGAGAGTGACAAGAGACTGGTTAAAGCACCCAACTCGGACACGTGCCAGGCTGGCTATAGCATGATGTGGCATTTCTGTCCCTTCATCTGCTGAGAGGCTTTTCTAATCACACTTGCACATGCAATAAATTGAAGGCAATATCAGGCTGCTGTGACCTTTAGGTGCAGGACCTTCAACTGTAGCAATTGAAGCAGCTAAACTGAGAAGAAACTACAAGAATAGGCATAGTCAAATAAGTAGCAGCAGTAAATGGGTGATGGCATAATACAGTAAGATTTCCCAGGGTGATAAAGGTGCAGCTGACAGCAGAGTTCTCTAATGGGTCTTTTACAGTTTCTTCACCACAGAAGCTGGAATGTCTCCTTGCCCCCCAGCGCTTAAAAAATCCAAAGTAGAGCCAACCAAGCTCAAGCTGCCTCTATTATCAGGCATGATACTGGAGATGGCCACTGTGAGGACAGTGCAGGGTGACAGGGTGGTTCTTCCAGCATAAAACATAAGCCAAATAGTCTTCTTCCCTATACATTGGCATTTTGACACATTACTTAATAACTTTACCCAATCTGACCTTAATCGAAATCTCATCTGAGCTCCCAGTCTTCATACTCTCATTTTGTTCTGGGTGCCTGACATACTCGCCAAATTAGTTCAAAGACCACTACCCTTTCCTCCTTCAAATCCCTCCTCAAAACCCACAAGGTGTTCACTAAAACACAGCCAGCTGATAATGACTAATAAAGTCCAACTCACTGCAAGTAATATTCAAATGACAAGAAAATGCTGACTACAGTAAGTAACTAAGGTGAAAAAAAGGTTCAGATCCCTTACTAAGTTGGTAGCTGCATGCACCAATTTTGCATGGATGTTTTTCAACATTTCTTTCATTACTGATAAACTTCCAGCAGGCCTGCCACAATTTGAAAAAGAATATCTGACCCTGAGTCAGTGCTAGGGCAGTAAATAGTTTTTTGCCAATCTGTTAAGCTGAATTATTTTGTGTAGCATTGAGCAGTAACACTTATTGCACAGAGAAGTCATCTCAGCAGAAAGATTGTGGCAGTCATGGTGCAGCAACCAGTAAATGCCTGAGCAACAACATCCACTGAGCATCTGAAGCTACTTGCTTCTGGAGACATGTTGCTTTGGTCCTACCCAAAACCCAACAAAAAGCAACTCTCACACCCAGACCAAAGGCACAGTCTAGCATCTAACTTTTCCTTAACACGAAGAAGTAATTTTTGCAGCTAAAAGCTAGTAAAATAAGTAGCATAAGAGTTACACTCAGTTTATGCGTGGGTTAAACAAAAGAAGTAAAAGGTACAATCCAGGCCTCTTTCAATGCAAACAAATTACTAGCACATTAACAATAGTCCTGATGGATAAAGTCTGACTGGATGTCATTAAAAGTAGATGTGGGGAAAAAAACCTAAAAGCACTGGCTGATGTAATGGGAGTGACCATTTTCATTATGACTGAAGAAAACACATCTTACCAATTCAGTAATTAATTAAAATTAATGAGAAAGAGACATGGGAAGTTCAGAACAGAGCCCGAGAGCCTGAGCAAACCACATCACATTAGCACTAAGAGTTTTCTGAGATCAATCAAGGTACACTATTTTTCATTGAATAGTTCAAAGCTTAGAAAACTGCATGGCAATATTTTGTTTGCAAAGATGGTTCTAAAGCCCATCCTCTTTCTACAGGGGCTGGCAGAGATAAGCTTACAGCAGATCACAACAATATTTTACCGTATACGACCTTTCAAAGAAAACTTCTATTTTGTTAGTTAATCCAAACTGATTTTGTTGCAACACTTAAAGAAAACTACTATAAAAATTTACTTGCTTAACCCTTTCTTGTTATTTACCAGTGAGGATCTTATTTTACTGCACTACAACATAAATCTGCTAAACATCCATTCTGACAAAAACAACACTCTTGATAGTGTATGATGTGCAACACCTGATACCTGTTCAGCTTCACACTGAGATAAAGTAATAATTCCTTTTTACAGCAAAATTATACTATTTCAAAAACACTGAAGCTTTCCTCTAAGTTTATGAATGAAAAAGAGCTTGAGAATGGTTGTTCCATTGGTCTTACCATGGAGAAAACTTTCTGTAAAGCTAAACTTAAAATACGCTGCTAGTCATTGCTCTTCCTGTTGATTTGCTAGCATACTACCTCACTTTCTCTGTAAATTAATTCTAGAATATTTTAAAAACACCTACTCAGTTTAATAATTTCAGTGTTGCTCCTCTACACAGTAAGAACCCATTACATATATAGTAGTTTGGTATCTTTTCTAAGGACTTGCCTGCTTTAATTGGCTTCACTGTACAACCAGAAACCTACACATTCCAAGAGATTAAGAAAACTCTTCATAGAAACTTCATAGAAATACAATGTAAATTTTTTTTCAAAGAGTCTACGTTAAGAGGTAACACAATGGTTTACCAAACTGAAACTATGTCCCACTGTCAGTAAATACTGTTAAGATTATTCATAAAACCCTACTAAAATATGATTATGTGCTTACAAAAATTAAGAAGAAAATCTACACTCAGTTAACAATAGCGGCTGCTTTTTAACTAACTCTACAAGCTGACTTTCTTCAATCAGTATTGTAACTGGCACATCTGCAGACAGGAAATCCTCAACACTACCAAAATTCCCAGCCTATTATCTGAGACACCTGGTGTGGGTGTGTTGATACAGAGCAAAACAATGAATCATACTGACTGCACATCAATTAACCAGCTTCAACTGTTAATGTGTTTAATCCTTAAGGGTGGAGTGCCAGTTTGAACACTAAAAAACTCAAAACAAATAACCCAAACTCTTTGGTTTGTGGTTTCTAAGTACGGATTGTAACTTAAAATCTGTGACAAAAAAATTATAATACATGTAGTTCCTCTGTATCAAAACAGTGAGTGGAGTCACATTACAACTGAGTTGCAACAGTCTGTCATGCAACCTTAGCCATTATAATAAACATTAAACAGAGATTTTTTTTGGTAGCATAGCCATGTAATAGCTCTAGATATTGGTAATAGATAATGGTAATCATAGTAAGTGAATATGTCACAACACACTACATGTTCTCTTTTTGGGGTATCAGGAAAACGTAAAACTGTCTTAACCAGGGGAAAGGAACAACAGGACAACAGATTTAGTCTACTGAGCAAAATACAAAATGCTGTAAAGTATTAATCCCGTTTTCCTGTAATGGATCTATTGAACGACCACAAGAATTTAACTCTATTTGTTATCAACAAGAGCAGCACTTACCCACTACTCTAAAACAGCAGTGTCAGATAAAAAGAACAACAGAAAAATGGAGTGGTTAAAAGGAGCTGCTAAAGCTGTAGAAAACTGATCATTCCTCTGCATCAAAATAATTTCTTGGGCAGTAAGTTTAAGCCTATTTACTTTGTTCACCAGTATTCATCTGCTTGCCAAATATCACTACTACCTTTAGCCACCCATTATTTATCTAGAATTCCAGATATTCAGAAAGCTTTAGAAGTACAAAAGACAAGAGGTGTCCTATTCTGGTGGTCTTGCAGTCCACCTGAACCAAAACAGCAACTGAGGGACAACTCATAAGAGCAACAAAAGAGCAGCTTGGGGAAGCAACATGGCCAAAGTTCCTCTGGGCTGGAGCCATACATAATTTAGTGTGCTAATCCTTATAAGAAGTAGCATTTGACTCAAAGGAGGCAAAAAACAGATTTAATTCCCACTTCTGGTGATTATGCTCATAGCTATTTGTCACTAAATTCTTTTAAATTAATTTACTCTGATTTAGGCATCATACATCAGTCACAAGGGGTCTGAGATACCTGTAAGTTCCTAGATTTCAAATATCTCAAGTTCTAAGGTTCTCTGCAATAAGCTTGGACTTTTAGGGAAATACTGTGTCACTGAATTGGACCATGTCTGCAGTAAACAAATTTAAGCAGCATGGCTTAGAGAAGTTCTTTGAAGAAATGGTAGACTCTTGAAGAGGATAAACAGAAACTTGTAGTGAGGACCTTCCTGAGTAAGTTAAGAATATGGACTTAAAGAACACTACTTGCACCAAAGAGGCTGCTGGAATTCATGCTCTCACCCTCTAATAAATGTGAGGAAGACTAAATAGTCTCCCATTTTTTGCAGCTCATGCAAAAGTATTTCCCAGCAGATTTCTGCTATTCACTAACTTCCATGTCTTTCTAAACTGTAAGTGAACAAGCCAAGCATACAAGAATTAAAAAACTATCAATGTTTAGGTAACTAAATATTTAATTATTTTTTTTTTAAAGGAAGGGTCTATACAACATTATGAGGGCATTTATTTTTCAGAATGAAAAACATTGCAAATATATGTTGAGATAATCAAGTTTACCTACTGCCCACATCACTGTGTTGAAGGAATCTGTTTCTTCTGTGCCCAAGTCAGTATTTTTCCAGGTGACTTGCAATCTGTTACTCTCCAATTTTTCAACTTTGGTTGGGAAACATCTCTTTAAAAATTTTGTGCCATAAGATTCCATGTGCTCAGTTACTAATGATGCCATTTGCTGTTGAGTAGGGGGAAAAAAAAAAATTCTTAGATACATGACTCTTTTAAATGTAAAACACTTCTTCAGGTGTCTTCATGAAACTCTACTAAATACACTGTGCATTTCAAACAGCCTTTGTCTCTTAGTTACGATACATTGTCAACACATAATTTATTCAGCCACTATGACCTGCAACTCTCTTCCAAGAGGCATCTACATCTGAATATTCAAATTATTTTCAAAAAAGTAAAATAGTGTATGAACAAAACAGTTGTTTTAATATAATTTAATGCTTCTACAAAAATTACATATAGAGCATATTTAATTTAACATTACCATAATTACAATTTTCTGGCAGCTCGATGAGAATTCAATACTTCCATAAGTTAGGCAAGAAAAATATTTCCCTTTGCCATGACACCTGTCATTCCTCTGCAATGATTACGCCTTATTAAGGTTTCCTGGAAAGATCTACTACTAAAAGGAAATAATGGTTTTGTCCTAAAAGCCTGCTTGAAATATTGCCATACCACATTCAAGTAGTAAAGAGTCACACTGACAAGTTTATCCAAAGATGTCATTGCTTTTGGCTGCAGTAATTCTGGTTGCACTTTGTCAAGGAATATGCTTACTGCTTAAGAAAATCACTCACACAGAGTAACTATATGCAAGCTCTCGACTTATAATACTTTATTTTAGAAATTTATATTAACTAAAATGAAGGCAACAGCAGGGTTGTATCTCTTCAGAAACATGATACCTCACTGAACAGTTTCCAACAGACTCAATGTGGTTACAGGCTGAACATAATTCTTTTGTGACTATTAATACCTTCTTAACTCTGAAATGAGCCTTTGTAGGCAGGAAGAGTGCAATGGACAAGTTCTCAGAGAAAGCCCTGCTGTGTTTTATGAGGTGCCACACACACACAGAGATGTCATGCTGTTACAGGTGTAGATCTCTCCAATGATGAGTGCAAAACCCAAGACACGTTCTCATACAATGTTTTTAAAACTCTGGTACACATACCACTAGTTCTAAAGGAAGCCACTTCAAAGTGGGAGTGGCTGGCATGAAACCAGGAGCTGTCACTACCTGCAGTGGTACTTGTCACTGCTGCTTCTAACAGCAATATCTCCTCCTCAAAAACTGCACTGTTACTCATGAAAATAATTTTCCTCCACCCTGTGTATGCAAAGAAGTTTGTAAAAATAAGCCCATAGCTCTGTCACTCTTTCATCAACTTCGGCCTGTGTTTTGAACTATTCCAACTAAGCATTAAAAAAAATCCTAATTCATGATACCAGGAATAATTAAGCTCATGTGCATTTATTCCCATTCTGAAAACAGTATTTTCGAGTGATCAACATGAGACAATCTTCATTATTAAGGCTGACATTTTCCAAAGCTGGAGAAAAAAACTGTTGGAAACTTCAAGGGAAAAGTTCAGTCCAGATGTGAGTGAAAACTCAGAACTCGCACTATTTTAAGAACACTACAGAAACTTTTCCTTCAAAGTAGTGTTAGTATCAAATCTTGCAGGGACAGAAGATTCACAATCACCTTTAACATATTCTCCCTACAGATCAAGGGACTAAAAGGACTATCAGGCCAACAAAGAGATCATCTAACCTGTAGAACAGAGACTACAAACTCACATCCAAGTAATACCTTTACTGGATTCAGTAACTTTTCTTTAAGCTACATTTGCTATAGTGCCTTCTATTGCTTCTCTAGGCAGTTGTACTTTGTACAAAATCCTATACAAAACAGGTTTGGTGTGTGTTGCTTTTTCTCATTGTTATTTCTAATTGCTTTTATTCTCTTTATATAAGAATGGGGTTTGGTTTTGTCAGCATAATCATGACCACTTTCTTAAATAAAACTCAAAATCTTCCCCAATTTTGAAACACATTTTCTTCTCTTTAAGTTTCCCTGCCTGCAATTTTTTGCTGTTAATTTTCTTCTGCTTAGGCTTGGATAGTTCTACTGAAATTGCTCTTCTTTTTTTTTTTTTTTTTTTTTTAACCTAGTTATAACCACCACTGTTTTGAAAGTGGTAAGGGCAGGATTTTCAATTCCTATGTCATTACAAACTTTCAGCTTAGTGATTTATTTATATTCATCATAATGAACTCCACATTGAACTACTTCATGTTAAGTCAAATAATTTATTTTTAAAATCATTATCTGTAACTCCTAGAAATTCAGGATTATTTTAAAGAGACTGCCTCATGTTTTTAGCAGTGGCATAAATCCTTCCTCTGCTTCCCAACCTTTTCAATCTTGTTTTCAGTTAAGCAGGAGGAAAAAAATAAAGATTTACTTTCCTGAGTTCAGTATCAAGATATAGGATAGGAACACAAAACTCAATTTATTTCGTTTCTCTTCAGAAAGCACATACTAGGAAATATTTGGAGAAGCCAATGACGTTTTTACTTTAGGAGACAAAAATAATCAAATACACTTTTTAATATATTTGATATACAAGAAGGTATAAGATATTCTGTGTTTACCTGATCAAACCCACGAAGTGGGATACTTCTCATCATGACTGTAGTGTCCAGTCCAATGCCTGTTAGAAAACCAGCACACTCCAGTGAAACATCTGGTGAAGCATCAGGTAAGAAAATATAAGCAGTAATTTCATACCAATGCAATACAAAATGGTAGGTATACAAGTGGGCTTTTTACCTTGTCACTGTTTGACTCAGGTTCCACAACAATGCTCTCAATCCCCTCCCCTTCCCACCCAAGGTGTGACCTTGGAACCCCAACAGTTACAAAAACATTCCACCATTATCAGCCCAAGCTGGGACACTTTGCTACTAGTTAAAAGAAAGCCTACTGAAGGAAAAAAAAAAATAGTAAAAGGAAAAATAGCTTCATCCTGGCTCAAACCAGGACATACCTAAAAGAATCCTCTCCTCACACAGACAGCATCATCTTGCTTTTATTGCATATACTCCATAGAATATTTTCCTTGTAGATAACATGGTTTTTAAGATGCTGAGAATTTATCTTCAGCTGACCTTATTTCCCATGTTGCTACTGTATAGAAAACTATTAGTATTCTATTACCAACTCAACTACAGGGTACGAGCAAAGGAATTCCAAAAACTGAGCTTTCATAGGAAATATAGCTATGCTGTTTATAACCATAAATCATCACAGCTTTTCCAAAGGATACAGCTGGCTCCAACAACCAACCTGTTACATAAAAAGAAAAAATATAATAAAGCAGTGCAAAGAGCTTGTCTGTATTTTTGCACAAGCAAAGTATGTATAGTTAAAAAATCACAGGTTTGAGGAGTGAATCTGTTGTTGTTAGATGGGAAGAAAGAGCATGGCCTGTCAATTCCAACAAAGACACTATTATAATGTGTGGGCTTATTTTGTTAACAGGAAAAAATAAAGAACAGGCTAAGAAGACACAGGAAATTATTTTTATATCATAAAGACACATTAAAACACCTACTTTGAGAGACAAAGTGAAGAAAGCCATGAAAAACTAGGAGAAACTAGCAAAGTTAAGAGGCATCACAAATACTTCAATTGTGTCCAATGATTTATCTCTGTTGGGAATATCTGTAATGGACACTGACAGGTATTGCCCCAGTGCCTTTTGCTACTGATGCCTCATCTTTACAGGGTGTCTCAGCACAATGGCCTCTGAGAAAGTGAGGAACATCCAGCAGTCTTGTCAGAACTTGAGTATATATCAACATTTCTAGAGGTGTTATTAAATATATATATATTTAATATTTTTAAGAAAACTTAATGAGAAGTTAAGCATGTTTGAAATTCATCATCTTCTTATCGAGTAGATTCCAGTTCCCAAGATAAGATTTTATTCATTGCTGAATTTAATCTTGATTTATAACCATCTGCTTTTTAATCATCTTATTTATCCAAATGCCAAATATTTGCCCTTCCTGTCTTTAAAAGTTTGTGTGTAGTTATAGAAAACCCATTTAATAGATATACCTTGACTAGTATTTACCAAATAAATCCATTTTAGATCTTACATAAAACTCCAGCACCTCTCTCTCCCCATATTTCATATCCTTTCAACCAAGAATATCACTAAACTTGTGCATCAACACTTAATTTATGAGGTGTATCAGCTCTCCAGCACAGCAGCTTCCACGCCCGTCCTTAGATGCCCTACAAACTGCAGCAGCCCTCTCCTTTCTGACCAACCCTCAGTTGCCGTCCCTGCTGGGTACACAAAAGGCAGGACACTTAGTCACTGCTCTGGAGGTAAAAGTGGGATCAACCAGCCAGTCACTGACACTCAGCTGCTGGCCAGGCTTTGCTGTTCGTTGATGCTGCTCATGCTGCTGGACATTCCTTTGCTGTTTGTGTGCTCTGCAGACTTGTCAAAACCTCACAGTTTGGAGATACGTTCCACATAATAGTTCCAATTACAACAAAGTCTTTTGTTGAGTTTTTGAGTTAGTAAAATAAAGCATAATTAGCAAGAGCAAAAGTTCTAGTAGAATGTTGGCTGTTTCTGACTATGATTTTTAGCTATGGAAAAACATGATTTATAAAGAACTTCCTTTTTTTTTTTTTTTTTTTTTTTTTACTTTGGACATTTGTTTTAAAGCAAGTCTCCTACTGTCATATTCAAAAGTTTAAAAAATAACTTTGGATTTTTAGGTGTGGAAGTAGTAGCCTGCTAATTGCATTATTGAAAGCTAGAAATTTTAGAAATTTACTTGAATTTGGTAATTCACTTTACAAACTCACATAATCACAGAGTTTAAACAGGTTATTTAAAGATAGAAAACAAAGAAGCATAAGCATTGTAAGCAGAAGTCACAGAATCTTATAATATTCTTTTATCCATATCCAGCCTCATTTGACTGTTTTAGGAAGGTAAGTTTCAGAAACACAAATGGCAATGCCAGCAGAGAGAACAATTGCATGGAAATATTCAATAAAATAAAAACCTTCTCCGTCAGAAGCTTTGCCTTCATTAATTCAAAAACTCTAAGCAACAAAACTATTTTGACAAAACATTCTCTGAACAGGTGAAAATTCAGAGTAGTCAGATCACACATTCAAAATACCAGCCTGTGACCTACACATCCCACACCTCTTTGGATTCTACACTTTGCTTGATTTCTGGCAGAAGTAACATATGCTAGTGTGGTGCTTCACAAAATAACAGAAACCCTTAAATCCATGGTAATGACCAGTGATAGGACAAGGGGTAATGGGTGCAAATTGGAGCATAGGAGGTTCAAGGTGAATATCTGAAAAAATTTTTGTACTGTAAGAGTGACAGAGCACTGGAACAGGCTGCCCAGGGAGGTTGTGGATTCTCCTTCACTGGAGACATTCAAAACCCACCTGGATGCGTTCCTGTGTGATGTACTCTAGGTGACCCTGCTCTGGCAGGGGGGGGTTGGACTAGATGATCTTTCGAGGTCCCTTCCAACCCCTAGGATTCTATGATTCATGGAAAACCACACACGAAGTGAAGGCTGGCAAAAAGTGGTCCATGCATTGCAGTCTCTTTGTAAGGAGGTACCATTCATCAATTTAACCTAAAATTTACAAAGCAATGATCCCCCCTCCACCCTTTCACCAGGAAAACTACTAGTACACACACTTACAAAGAGAGAAATGTGTTTCATGGAAGGACATCAAGAACCTTAGAAAATGACAATATTTTGGAATGTGATTTGTACACAGTCTGTCCTATGCTAAGAAAGCAGAGCAAAAATAATAGGCAAAACACTGGCTTGTGGCCTAGGCCTTACCCCAAAGCAATCTGCACCATTTCCTAGTTCTAATAGAGATGCTTTTAAACTTTTGAAAAGTGAAGACATGAGGCTGCTGCTCCGTAAGCCTCAGGGATTTCAGAGTCAGTGCAACATGTGTTTTCTCACAGAAGACCCTAGATAACATCTACCTATCCTATAATAAAAAAACACAACTTCTGAAGGTGTACAGAGAACAGGTTGAGTTAAAAAGATTAATATCTGCAAGCCTGGGTCTCATGTTTGGCAAACAATTTAACATAGTGGGAAATAAATTTTTCCAACATTAGGGCATCTGATTAACCTGTGAATGGATGATCACCTCCTCTTCTACCATGCAGGTGCTGGGAAGTGCTGGGAAAAGCCACTGCCCTTACAGAAATATCTACTGGAGATTTACAGGGAATACAATGAGAATATCTGTAATTCGGGCATATATGTTTGCTTTTCTTTTTCATGAAAAAGAGATGTCAGCTGGCCCTCATTAATAGTATCAGCAGTACATTTTTCACAATTTATTCTCCAAAGTAGAGGGTTCCTGGGCATTGTCAGTGTCTAATAGAAAAGTTAAGAAAGCAGAACCTAACCTCCTTCCCACCTGCTCAATCTCTTACTCATTCTGAGCATATTTCAAGGCATCTTTTCTAATTCACTGTGCCAAAACTCATCTCAGTAGCAAGAATTTCTTCACAATGTTTGTGTATCTAAGGGACTTTTAAGTTGCTTAACGGTTTGTGCTTTTTTTTTTCAAATATGAATAGCTGCAAGACTGACAGTTCTATAACCCCCAGGCATGTAATTTGTTGCTGAGATATGTACATTTGGAGAAGGAGAAAAGCAAGAATAAGTACAACACATCCCAGACTGAAAACAAAAGGTGTTAAACTGAGCCTTGGGAATATTTATAATAGAAACAAATCCGACAGAAACAAACCTTTAACAAGTCCCTCCTTCATTTGCTAGGACACAGCCTGATAAAGCACAGAAATGCTACTGTAGCCCCTGCAGGCTTATTTTGACTAAATCTCAGGAATGCAACATATAAACATTAGACTCCCACATTACACTGTTACAACTTGCATTAGCAGCAACTGGACAAAAGCCACATTTTCACAGAAACATCTTACCAGGATAAACCTTACGTTTAGTTTTTGTGGGGGCTTCTGGTGTTTTGGGGTTTTTTTAAAAACAATTTCCTCACATAAATCATGCTCTCAGAATTCAAGAGGTGACTGATCTACTACAAACAACAGCAAATTTACTTTCCTTTTAAAACTGTGAAAAGGAGCCTTTTCTATCTATTTGATGTTTAGCTTAGCACAGTGCATTTTTTATATTAGAATGAATGGTAGCTCTGTTTTCTTTCAAAGTTTTCTTTAAAAAAAATCAGTACACTAGTTTCAAGTCTCTTTTTCTTATATATACTTTGCTTTTCTAGAATTGCTTAATAGAGAAAAGAAAAAAAAAATCTCTGACTTATATTCCAGGAAATGTGCATTTCCTATCACAATTATTTGCATAAGGAAATTGCTCTGTAGTGCTGTGTAGCCTCAAAATCTTACTGTGCTATGTGCTGTAAAAAACAAACTATGGATTTTCATTTCCATTAAAACTGATTTTTAGTATTTCAGTTATAACAATAGTTCCCAAAGCATAAGAAAAGGCAAAAATAGCCAATTGTCTCATCATGTTTTCTTTTTTTTTTTATCAGAACTGCCACCACTTAAGAGAACATTAAATTATGTTGGAGCTTCTAACCTGAATGAAATTCCACCCGTTGCAAAGACTAGGGACAGCCTTCGTTTGAGTTTATGCTGCCCTCTTGTGACTTCCACGTATAATTGCTACAGCAAACAAGTCAGCCTAAAACGGTGAATATTCATGTTTAATTTGATTTTCGAAGAGAATTTCATAAAGGGGAGAGGTGAGGAAATCTATTCATTATTAATGAAGACTGATAGTGTGGCGCTGATGCCCAGCAAAACAAGGAAAACAGAAGGACAGGAAAGCTGGTGCATAAAAGTCCATTTTGAACATTTTTCATCTTGCCATAAAGAAAAAGTATGAATGTCAGCATCTGTTAAAGCCACAGTAAGGCAACTTACGTTTTTCCAGGAGATTCTTTTAACCAGAACAGATCATCACTTGTGATTCCATACTCCAGTGCACCTGGAATCTATGAACACACAGGTAAGATATTGAATTTACAATGCAATTCCTGGCAGGAAAGAAAGCTGATAGGAGCCTGGGCTGTATTAGCTGAAGTATAACCAGTAGAACAGAGGGAATATATCTGGATTGCCCAGATATATTATCTAGTCTTCATCTTCAAAGAGTTTCAAAACCTGACTGCAAAAAGCCCTGAGCACCCTGATCTAACCTCCCAGCTGACTCAATAGCTGATACCATCCTGCTTGAGCAGGAGGTTTAACTAGATGATCTCTAGAGGTCCCTTCCAACATGAATTATCCAACAGCTCTAAGGAACACCAACATACCAAATTGATGCAAATTGCATTCTATGGAAATGTTTTTCTGAAAAGCCGGTGCTTTATATAAAAAAAGCACATGACGTTAAGTACAAAAATTTCAAGTGTTATTTTATATTTACTTTTTTTTATCCTCCAAACATTCCCTGTTATCTGCAATAAAAACAGTAAAGCCATTGCAGTTGTCAGATGGCAAGTGTGACTTACCTGTGTAGGATATTTTGGTCTTCCTCCAGTAGCAATGACAATATTTTCTGCAGTAACAACAGTCTACAAGCAAAAATACAAAATCAAAATCAAGCATTTGAAATCCTTTTACCTGTCTTTAGATTTTACCTATGTACAAATGAACGATAAATGAAAAATCTGGCTCTACCACCTGCTATTTATATGACAAACTAATCAGCAATGCATTAAAAAAAAGGATAGAGATAAAATAACTAATACATGCATGAGTTTCTCCTACAGATTCTCCATCAGGTTTTGTTTTCATATTAAGCTTACAATTGCTCCTGTACTGGAGATTCTGATGACTACTTGGAAGCACCAGCTGTGCACAATGGGCAGCTTTTCAAAATCAATTTTTGCTTATGACAAAACACACAGAGATCACAGCAAGTGAACTCTGCCTCTAAGGCCTGGAGTTAAGCTGCCTCAAAAGTGCCACATTTTTAGAAAAAGCTAAGCATCTACCCCCAGAAACTTCTGCTCTCTCAAGCTGATTTTCACCAGTAGCGTTATATAACTAACCTCAAGAAGGTGTTAAAAAATGTATGTTCTGTCTCCTGTTACACCTGCAAACATAGTTATCACTCTGTTATGTGACCCAGTTGCTTGAAGCTGCTCATTCTGCACAATTGCCTCCCACACACAATTTTGTATCAGAATGCTAAGCATGCTTACAATTCATCTGAAGGAGTAAAGCTCCTCAGACTGATCTAATGCCCAGAGCAATAAGGAGATGCTGGTCCTTTTTACATCTCTGTAAACATCTATTGAAGCAGTATGACTCTGACCAAAAATAAAAAATACCTTGTGCCTCAGCATTTCCATCTGCAAAAAAAAAATAATCAATGGTATCTAACTAACAGGGTAGAGGCTAAGGAACCCAGTAGGCAACAGTCAAGTTCATAAACCTCTTCTCTAGGTGGAAAATGCAAATGTCCCTCACCAAAACATTACTGAATACCTAAGGCAGTTCCCAAAAGTAACATCTAGTTCTCAGTTGACCTGAAAATGAACACGTGAAGACCTGCAATGTTTGAAGTGAACGATCCCACAGAAATCAGCACAGCAGCTCACCTCTTTACCTGCTTTCGTTAAACCACGAATTGTGTGTGGATCAGAAAAACTCCCTTTCATGTTGAAATATTTCACCTTCCTGTTCAGAAGAAAACAGCAACATAAATGCATACTCAGAGAGTGAAATAAAAGCAGCTACTTTTTCCATATCTTTTTAGCACTTAAAAAGGATAGTGAACAGGCAGAGAAAAGTAAAAGGAAGAAAGCATTTCATTTCATAGGATTGTTTGCAGTTTTGTCACATAATTTAAGCCACTTAATTCTTGTGTCACAGTTAACCCCTTTATACAGCAGAGTACCTAACCTTGCAATATGCTTTGGGATCAGATTATTGACCTGCTCAAATGATGCATTTTCCACTAGTCATAGCATTAATATTACTAACTATAACATTACTAATACACTGCTCATTTGAGAGCATACAAAAGTTAGTCAGCAGGATTCACAAGACTAGTACCTGCTAAATTATGCATGAAGACATTTCCTCTATAAAAGAAACTGCATGCTGAAAAAACTTGGAACCATTTCTGCACTGAAAGCAAAAAATCCAGCTGCTCTAGTACAGTGTTATCTGTGGGCTTGTATGGCAAATACATTTTGCTGGACAAGCTTGCAATTATCTTGAGAAACCCTGACTACTTCATATTAATGCGAAACCTCTCGAGATTAAACAGAGCATTCCCTGATCACTGTGCTGTTAGAAAGCTTTCATGTATGGTCACTTTCCACCACTCTTTCCCAAAAAAAGAAAAAAAAAAAAAAAAAAGGAAGATTCAGGGATGGAAATCACATTGGCAAAGGGCATTTACTATCCTGAGCAGAAAGGACTCAAGAACTCACGAAACTAGGTCTAATGAGAATCCCCAAAGGCAAGTCAGCAGTTCTACAAGGAGAGCTCCTTGACTAGGTGAAGAAAGATGAACTTCATTCTTACTTACTTGTCCTGTAGTTGCACTCTGTGTCCCCAGTTCAAGGATTTCACATAATTCTGAACAGCTTGTGCCATCACAGACCTACCACAAAACAAGAAACTGAACGTGAAGTCATCATGTTACAAACTCACATCATGCAACTCAAAGACACTGGCAATTACTAGAAATGAGGAATGTTCTACAGCAGTTTTTGTTGTAAAATTAAATTATCAAGTCCAAAACAAACATAACATCTGTCCTGATAAACCGGTAAATAGTTTCAAACAAGGAGCAGTCTAAAAAGCTTCACATTAAATTCACTTCCCTAGCTGTCCCTAAATAAACACCAACTGGAAAAAGTTGTTACATATTTGCAGCACATAGGAGTAGGTATAAGCAACAGTCTTTACCAGGTATGATTAACAGGTTGGGCTATATTCCAGCCATAGTGTTGGGCATCTTTAAGGGCACTCCCTAAAAGGGCTGCTTGATGCATAAGCTTTTTAGGAATGCAGCCAACATTCACACAAGTTCCACCAAGTCCCCACTTGGTTCCTTGGAAAAAAAAGAAAGAAAGTAAATGCATCAGGTTAGACTAACTTAATGAAACTGGGTTATTTAGAGAATTAGGCTATTTATGCAACTAGTTTAAAAGTTCTGAAACAACACAGTTTACTGTCCCCTACAGATCAGTTTCTAGTTCTGCTTATGTTCATTTGTGTTGATTGGAACAATCTCTTTATACATTTCTTCTAAAATTTAAACATCTCAAGATGTTGCTCAGAGCTCTGAAGAATCAATTACTCACTCACATTTGCTTATTTGCATTTGCAGATCTTATTTTACATATTGTACAAGAAGAGTCTCAATATGATGTGATTCTTAATTTTCAGAAACTCTAAATAATACTTTGACAACGTTGTCACATACTGAAATCTAAAGTCTGCTACAAATGTCAGCATCAAGCACTGCTCACAACCTTCCCATGCAGGGGAAGCAGGAAGAGCTGGGAGATAATTGGAGTGAATGAGCAGAACAAGCTGGGCTGAAAGACTTTTACTACAAGCAAAGAAGCAGTGGGGCTCTGGCCACTTGGCTGCCTGAAAAAATCTGCTCACCTAGGCAACTGTTTTTATACACACATCAAATTATTATCCTAGTATTTATCTTCCATACCTTGTGGAGAAGGTTCCACATAATCCAAAACAGCCACTTTCCTCCCAAACTGAGCAGCTTTAAACAAAAAGCGAAACAACTATTTAGAGGAGGAAGAAACACACAAACCTAAACATTTTCAGTAGCACAGGCACAGAGTACAGGATATGACAGCTAGTGGTCTATAGTGCCTAACTCAAGATACCAGACTGGGGACACAGGCTGCCTATGTAGTCAGCAGACTCTCCAAAAGGCACTTAATAACCCAGACTAGAGCCTCCAGCTTCCACTGAGCCTAGAAATGCAATCTGATCCCAAATGAGATGTTTGAGAACCTTGTGGGCTGTTGAATATGATGCATTGAGTTACAAAGGGGCAAGGTTCTTTACCACAATTAGATAGGTCTTGAAAACAGTCTGAAAGGACTATTGTTGTAACACATAGACAAGAAACAGTATACTTAAAAAATACAGTATCTACAGGGGCACTCAGGAGTATTTTACAGTGACAATTAAATAAAAGCTTATTAGATTTTCCCAAGAAAAAAAGAAATACTTTTTCAAAGGTTGACAGGAAAGCCAAATAAGATCAGCCCACCTGGGCGTGTGAATTAGCTTGCAGATTAACTGTATGGAGCCAAGTTAATGATTAATGTGCAGGGACTGAAGTATACTAGGCTTCTTAAGACAGCTTCAGCATTATCAGAAACACTTCCCTTTGTTTCCATAAACGCCACTTAAGCTAAAACAAAATGTGTGTTAGTCATTTATACATACGAACCTTCTTTTGCACAAGCAAGGCCTCCAGACCCTCCACCAATTACCAGAAGATCATACTCATTCTTTCCTGCAAAGAGGACGTCAAAAAAAACAGGTGAGGAAGACAGGAGAGGAACCTAAGAAGGTAATTATATAAAAAAAACCACTTTTTTTTTACAATTTATTATTGCTGACTTGAGTTTTCTTTACTAGAGCACTGTACAGTGTCCTCAAAAATCGTTATCTACATTTGTTTTCATGAATGAATTACAGCTAATAAAGCAACCCCAAGAAGTGAGGAAATAGACTTTTACACAATGTCCCATGAAGCTCTGCAGCTGCAGCTGGTTTTCTGTCTCTGTGTTACAACACCAAGTTCTACAGACAGATTTCTCAGCAGGTCACCTTATCAGACTTGCTTTGGCTGCAGTGTAGACCTTGCAGGGGTGTGGTGGGGCAGTCAGAGGGAAGGCAACTCCTGCTGCCACCTCAGCCTCCCCACAGATCAGCCCAGCCTCCCAGAGCAGTTTTGAAGTAAGCAGTAACCCACTTCTCAGCAAGAGCATCAGAGCAACCCCTACTTTCAGAGAGGTGCCAGTTGGTCCAGAGAGGGCAGCCCGGGCCTGCAGCATCCCCACACCAGCTGTGCCCCCGGAGGGATGGGGGGCTTTTCTTGGCAGTTCAGAGGGAGCTGTCAGAGTGGGAAGGCTGAAACCTCCCGCTTGTTGGAGTGAAGCCTAGAGAGAAGGTTTGGCTGCCTCTCTGGGGGCCCTGGTACCTCCCCAGAAAGCCCCGCTGCAGGGCACAGGAGGCCTTGCCCACTTCACACCCCGGCCAGGCCCGCGGGCTCCCGCAGCAACTGGGGGCTGAGGGACGCGCTTCAGGAGAGGCAC